CTCAATCAGCAGACTTACTGAATGTTTCATAAGAAACTACTGTCTCTCAATCAGTAGACTTACTGAATGTTTCATAAGAAACTACTGTCTCTCAGTCAGTAGACAAACATTCAGTAACATAAGCTACTGTCTCTCAGTCAGTAGACAAACATTCAGTAACATGGGACGCTACTGTTTCTCCAAGAGTAGACAAACTGAAAACTTGAAAATTTATGAAACACGACCAGTTCGTCACTTTGATTCTCAGTTATAAAGATGTGTATATAAATTACAAGTGTTTTCTCCTTATTATCTTTTCATTTCATTATATATTTTGCATCAGAGATATTATTTTCAGGAATATTCTACGTTCTGGAAATATTAACTTTATGTTTTCTTGATTTCAGGCTTGATGCGGCCACGACCTTCGTCAAACATCCAGGAAGCGAACCCAGATAAAATAAAACGTGTTTTTCAACCACAGTCACTCGTTTCGTCTGGATTAAGACCTAACATCGAATTAACCACTTTAGAAATGAAAAATAAAGATCCGGTACAGACATCCATGGCCTGTGGCGATCAATCTTCGCGAAAAGTGGGCAGAACAGAAGAACCACTAGCCAGCGAGAAATGTAATATTCATCTGACCGAATGTGAATCGTTGGCAAGCAGCAAGAAATCCTCCAGTAAGATGTCTCCAGTTGATATTCTGTCTCGAATCTTTCCCAAGACCAACCGTAGTTTCTTAACCTTAGCGTTGCAGGAGAGTAACGGTGACGTACTTCAGGTCATTGACAATCTTCTCGCATCTAAAGCTGGTCAAGAGGACGATTATTTAAACAGTTCAACTATCCCTGGCACTTCAAAAGAGATTCCACTTCAACGACTCCAAAGCAATGATCCTGCTTTCTCAGTAAGCTCGTCTTCTAGTTCTGCTACGTCACTTCATCCTTCGGGAGTAACTTCACAAACCTTTATGTCGGTATATTCTGTGGTTTCTCCAACTCAACACAACACTCCCTATCTACTATTTGCCGGAAATCCATCGTTTCATCATTCCTGTCCATCTGCACATGCTCGTAGAGATGTTATAAATACAACGTCTTCTCACAGTGGCTTGTTTCCTGGCTCTAATCTTCACGGCTCTAGCTTGAGACCTGACCACAGTGCTATTTTTGGACCTTCCGTACTTGGTACCTTTTCTCAGCCTGTTTCTTACGTGCCAGACACGTTGTTGAAAAGACTAACGGAGACAGTTGCCACGGGGAACAAGGAAGTAGAAACTCCTCTGGATGGGAGTGTTAGTCCGTGTGACGATGATGATGATTGCTCTGGCTCGGACATTAAGAGGATATAGGAAAGCTTATTTTGGCTTACTTTATGAAATTAATGCATGTTTTGCTGCTTAAAATTATATCATTATGTATAATCTTCGGGACATACTGATTACCAGTATTTGTTAAAACTTTCCAAGAAGAGAAGTAAGTATCTTAAAAACATA